AGCTAAGCAAATAAATAATCTCTCACTGAGCGCTTTTTGTGCGTCTTGCTTTCGCGTGGTTTAAATGCTCATTTGGAGGGATATTAGCACTTACTGCTGCAGCCAGACCTAGAGCCAGGACGAAATATGGACGAGTTGGCCTGCAAAACTTTGAAGATATGGTTTTAGTTGAGCGATTTGCATACATGTTTCTGCCAAAACACAGAAAGCTGTAGCGTACGAGGAGAAAATGACCTCACTACATACTTTGTTTGGTAAGTTGTTTCTGCCTTAACGTAAAAACGAGTACCATCATCTATGTAGGTGTTGCCTTCAGCATCCTTATTGCAGACATTCTGCACATGTATCAGTTTGTCGGCAGTGGCAACCAATGGTGAGATCAAAAGCGGTGGCGCTTATTACATGCTATCGAGGAATTTGGGAGCAGAATTCGGTACAGCTATTGGCCTTTTGTTTTATTGTGGTAACACATTTGCCGCATCCATGTATCTTGTTGGAGGCGTCGAAATTTTACTGGTTTGTTTTTGTCTTTTTGCAAATCAAAAGCGAAAAATTATGACAGCACAGGGAAAGACTTCCGAATTCAAATCAACTTCCAAAGCTTACTGAATCCATGTGCAAATGCTTTGTAGCCTCACAGCTTCTGTAATTACATCCACAAACATTCCAGCATGGCCTAGCCAACTGTGTTTTTGTAGCAAAAAGACATTCCAGCCGTGAGATGTTTTAAAAAATCCATGCTCGACGTTACATGGTGTTTTTGATGGGGTTCAAAATAATGATGAGAAATGTTTTTAGATATACATATTTCCTGAATGGACATTTCCAAACCGAGATGTGCAGTCAGAAACGCGTAAGTTTTATTTCAGCGGAAAATCTTTTTCCTAAAGCCTTTCAGAGTTTCCGCCATGATGGGACTAAATGGTGAAAAACAACACGGGAGGAAACACAAAAAATAGCGGGCTTAAGAAGGTGTTGGAAAAACGAGGGACTGTAGCGCTGGGTTTGAAGTTGCAGATCAAGGAAGAGACTGCTTAAGTCCTATTGTGTGTTTTATAAATCGACACTTCCCCGCATTTATATTTATATTTTGATCAGTCCTCCGTGCAGTGTGTTTTTGAGCCTTGCTGCTTAATATAAAGTTTCATCAGCTTATTTCAACCTTTATCTTCGCACG